GGAGTGCTAGGTAAATCGCATACCACCATTGGGCATGCAGGTTTATCTGCCTTCTCTCTTCTACCTAAGTCATACCCAGAAACCACTTTTTCTGATTGCCATTCTACAGCTGAAGAGCAAGGGCTGAGGTGTTTAAAAAAATGAGGATGATTTATCAAACTGAGCTTAAATAGGAATTGGGAGTCTGAGTTTAATATTCAGCATCCTCAGGGACTGCACCCAAAGTTATGCTTTTGAGTCTGAGTATTGCGGCCACCTGAAATTATTCCTCTGCCACAACTCAGCAGCCCACAGGTCTGCAGGGTGCAAAGAGGCTCTGTGCTTAACTGTAACTCTGGTCAAGTTCTAGAAATTAACTTTTATTGGTTTAGATTTGCAGTTTTTCTCCCAGAAAGTCTACAGTATCAAGTCCTACAAAAAAGTTTTTCAGAGGCCATTTCTAAAACCCAGTTGAAGGCAGAAGAGCAAACAGCAATTTCCTCCCATTTTTTATAGAAAAAAGCTAGTAAGCTGAGAGGGGGCAGACAAGTTTGTATTATCTTCCTGAGGGAATTTTAATTTTCATATTCCATTTCCTGCCACAAGCCTAAAAGCTGAGGCTACTAGGTATCTCAAGAAATTTTACTGCATCTCCTGTCAATTTGACTGGCCTCCTCAACTGGAAAAGTGCTTTAGGCTTTACCTCTGCTGGGCCTGCCAGGTGATGCCCATTGCCTTTATGATTAGGAACTGTGAAGGCTCTTCTAGGTCAGTCCTGGAGAGCTCAGTGCGAAAAGACAGACATTCCAGAACTGTCAGAGGCACCATATATCTGGGTCTGCTGCAAATAACAGGCACTGAGGTCACAGTCTGAGTCTGGATGGACACAAGCTGTTTATGCAGCTCTGATGATGATTGTTCTGTGATGTTAATGTCTTCATCACGCCCTGCTGAAAGTCTCCATAGCCAATATTGGGAATTCAAGATTCACTGGGTCAGACAGAGGGGAAGGAACATGATTTAGTAACCTACTAGTTTGGGCAGACAATGCAAAGCATCAGGTCTGGCATGCCAGTAGCATCTCTGGGAACAGCTGATTCTTTTGTCTAATGAGTTTTTCATGTAAAATGCATGAACAATAGAGACTGGAATCCACATTTCAATTAATATTTTAAGTGTTTTATATCAAGTATTCATAGCAGAAAGGACTGGAGCTCATGTGTGTTCTTGCCTCTGGTGAGTTCCCTAACCATTCAGTAAGTGAGTTTTGCTCATACCCATCTTTCTTCTGACCCATTGCATATTTAATTAGTCCACACAGAGTGAAACATCTCCAACAGAGATTGACAGAAGCAGTCTAAGAACACCCTGGAGGAGAATAACAAGGGTTCAGACCTCTCTAGGCCATGGAGTTATTTGAACCCAACTCCCCTTTTAAACTCTTTGAGATACAGATTAAAAGGAACTGGCAGAATGATGAGGATCAAGATGCAATTAGGAGCATCACTATCCTGATATAAAAGATTCTTCTTCTCTAAGTATGTTCAAGTGGCAAATTTAGACAATTCTCTGCGTAATTCTCCACATGTATAGTGAAGGGGAACTGGAGGCCAAAGGACAGGGCTTGTATTAGACCCAACTGTGATTCAGCACAAGTCTGAACACTGTGAAATGACATCTAAATCCCAACCTTTTGGTACTTTAAAAATGCAACACAGAATCTCTCACCACCAGCAGTCACCTATATATCTTTTAAAATACACTAACGACCAACTTTTGCAATTATCTGATGCTCAGGTCTCACTGAAAACCATGGGACCAAGGCCCAATGGCTAGGACTACGCTCAGTTTTATTTCAACGGTTATACTAGAGCAGACCATCAGTATCTATATTGCAATACTGGATCTGATAGTCAACAGCTTAAGTGAGCTGACCAGTGATGTCAAGATTGGAGGCAGCCTGGGTTGCAGTGATCATGCACTGGTTGAGTTCACAGTCCTCAGCCATATGGGTTAGGTAAAATCAGGACCATGAATTTTAGGAAAGCAAACTTTCAGCTCTTCAAGAAATTCAATAGGACCCCCTGGGAAACTGCCCTCAAAAACAAGGGAGCAGAACAGAGCTGGCGTATCTTTAAGGGTGCCTTCCAAAATGGAAGAGCTAGCAAAACCCAGGTGAAAGAAATGGAACAAAGAAGGCAAGAGACCAGCATGGTTGAGCTGGGACCTGCTGTCCAAAGTAAAGGGCAAGAAGGAAAAGAATAGGCAGTGGAAGCAGGCTCAGGTATCCTGGGAAGAGTAAAGGAACACAGTCCAATTGTATAGGAATGGAGTCTGGAAGGCCAAGGTGTAGTTGGAGCTGAACTTGGCAATGGATGCAAAGAATAACAAGAAGAGCTTCTATAAGTATGTAAGCCAGAAAAGGAGGGTCAAAGAAAGTGTCCCCAAGGGCAAACTGCAAAGCATGAGAAGAAGGCTGAGATAGTCAACAACATTTTTGCCTCAGTTTTCACTGGCAACCTCTCTTCCCACACCTCTCAGGTGGACGGTCCACTGGAGGAGCAAAGTCCCTCCCACTGTAAGAGAAAATCAGGTTCAGGTTCGCTTCAGGAACCTGAAAGTATGTAAGTCTATAGGACCTGATGAAATGCATCCCAGAGTCCAGAGGGAATTAGCTAATGTAATTGCCAAGTCACTCTCCATGACATTTGAAATGTGTTGTAGTCAGGTGAAGTCGCAGGTGACTGGAAAAAGGGAAACACTGTCCCATCTTTAAAATGCGTAGAAAGGAGAAGCTTGGGAACTACCAGCCTGGCAGCCTCACCTCGGTGCCTGGGAAGATCATGGAACAGATCCTCCTAGAAGTTCTGCTAAGGCACATGAAAGACAGCAAGGAGATTTGGTACAGTCAGCGTGGTTTCACCAAGGGCAAGTCCTGTCTGACTAAACTTGTGGCCTTGTACGAAGGAGAGGCTTCATTGGTGGACAAGGAAAGGCCTATAGACATCACGTATCTGGATTTCTGTAAGGTCTTTGGCATGGTCCTCCCCAACAGAGGACAGTTCAGTGGGTAAGAAATTGGTTGGATGGTCACATCTAGTGGGTAGTGGTCAATGGCTCAATATCTTGATGGAGATCAGTGACAAGTGGTGTCTGCCAGGGGTCCATAATGGGACCAGTGATATTAAGTGTTTTCACCAATCACATGACAGCATTGAGTGCACCCTCAACAAGTTTGCAGACAATACCAAGCTGTGTGGTGCAATGGACATGGGATGTCATGGATTGTCCAGAGGGATCTGGACAAGCTCAAGAAGTGGGCCCATGGGAACCTCAAGAGGTTTAACAAAGCCAAGTGCAAGGTGCTGCACGCTGGGGCAACCCCCAGTATCAATACAGGCTGGAGAATGAATTGATTGAGAACATCCCTGCAGAAAAGGACTTGAGGATGCTGGTCGATGAAAAGGTGGACAAGAGCCAGCAATATGCACTTGTAGCCCAGAAAGCCAACAGTATCCTGGACTGCATCAAAAAGTGTGGCCGGCAGGTCAAGGGAGGTGATTCTGATCCTCTACTCTGCTCTGGTGAGACTCCACCTTGAGTGTGCCATCCAGCTGTGGAAATCCTAGCACAGGAAGGACATCAACCTATTGGAGTGAGTCCAGAGGAGGGCCATGAAGATGATGAGAGGGCTAGAGCATGGCTCCTATGAAGGCAGGCTGAGAGAGCTGGAGTTGTTCAGGTTGGGGAAAAGAGGCTCTGTAGAAACCTTATAGCAGCCTTCCAGTACCTAAAGGGGACTACAAAAGAGCAGGAGAGGGACTTTTATGAGGGTTTGCAGTGATAGGACAAGGGGTACCGGCTTCAAACTGAAAAGAGGGCAGGTTTAGTTTAGATATTAGGAAGAAATTCTTTATTGTGAGGGTGGTGAGATGCTGACACAGGTTGCCCAGAGAAGTTGTGGATGCTCCATCCCTGGAAGTGTTCAAGGCCAGACTGGATGGGTCTCTGTGCAACCTGGTCTAGTGGAAGGTGTCCCTGGTCATGGAAGGGGGGCTGGAATGAGATGATCTTTAAAATCCCTTCCAACCCAAGTCATTTCATGATTCTTTGATTCTGTGATTCTCTAACTTTATCTCTATCTGTTGTCAAGAGATGCAAGTAATGTGAAATTAGCTGAGATCTGCTGTGCTGACCTGGTAATGAAGACAAAGGTGTTGAGGAATACCCTCAGTGTAGCCATGAATACATTGGTGTGCAGCAGTAGTGTGAGCCTGAGCCAGAGACAAGAGGCTATGAACAGCCAGCCCTTTGCATAACAGGGACCCGAGGTGCTAACCAGGTGACCAAACAGTCAGAGACACAGCAGAAGCTTACTACCCTCAGGCTTTCCCACACATGACTGTAAGGGGATAAAAGCCCAGGGGTTCCTTTGTTTGGGGTCCCTCCTTGGAGACACCAGCCCAAGCTGCTATTTTGTAATTTACTGCGCCACAATTAAATAATTTTAAGGATCTGGCTGTCTGAGACTCTGCTGTGGCAAACCTAGGGTCAAGCTGGTAAGGAGAAATGGTCTGACAGTGTGAATGTGATGTGAGTAGCTGTGAAGGGGCTTCGGTCCAAGCTGAGGACTGACAGAGTGGCTCCTGAATGGTCAGACAGTGAAGTTTCCTTGACAAAGGCAATATAAAAGTGCACCCTTAAGAAGTATGGGAAGCTACAGATCTTGTTCTTACAGAGAACAGGGCAGATCAAATTTAAAGAGAGCTAAATGCCCACTATTTCCCTCCTTCCCATACACATGCGCAATACACTGTGTAAAGGCATATGCTTCTGTTTGTTTTGTGTGGTTTCCTCAGGCAGTGAATCTAGGACTGAGTCTGAGATTCAGCTTCACGACAAGCTTTTAATTATAGCACAGGAGTTTTGTTACATGTTACTCTGAGCCAGCTGGAAGCAGTTACACTTTAGTCTTCCTCCCCCTCCCTCCTCACCACAGGATGTAATTTCCAAGGCCTTACCCTTCTTGTCTTGATGATTATGGGATGAAACTGCCACATATGGATCTGTATTTTCAGACGAACCAAGTGGATCCTTCCAATCCAGCATGCGTCCCCTAGCATCATAACCCTGTCGAGCGTGAGAGTCGGAAGTGGTGGTGCTTGGGACTAGGGAACTGGAATGTCCTGTTTACATTATAAATACAGGTAGGGAAGACAAGTCTCATTAGTCACTTACCACGTTACCTCCCCATGCTCTGGAATGCACGCACTGCTTTGCTTCCATGATAGGCGAATGTCTTGTCTTAGGCTGAGCAATGTTTCTAAAGTCCTTCAGAATATGGCCTCAAAGAAAGAGGGGATTTGAACCTTCCAGATCAGGTTCTGCTGCTGAGTTGCCAGTTCTGTGCTTAAACTCAACAGAGTAAAATGCATGTGAAAGAGGGTAAGTACACTTCATCTGAGTCAAGCATCCTTTGGCTGGATTCACTACACATGCCTGACTGAAACTGAAGTGTCAGCCCATGCTGTCAGGTACTGGCTTAGCTAAAAAGCAATTTAAAAAAATATTTAAAGCAGAACAGCCTCTAAAAGAGCTGAAACTGAATGGGAATGCCAGGAGAACTACAAAATGGCAACATCAGTGGCCCTTGGCCCTATACCCCAGGGGAATGAAGGACTGTCTAGCACCAGTTTGCTTACACTGGGGCTTCCCTGTCCAGATGGGAAATGTCCAGGGCCCATCAGTCCCTCACATACATTTGCACCATCACTATTGGTCCTGTCTAAGCTCATGGTCCAAACAGCTCTGAAATAAATGCAAAACTGAACATTGTTCCTGCTCAGAGTGACAGTGAAGACAATGCCTCACTACAAGAACCTGCCCAAGAACCCATGCATGACTCCAGCAGCAGCTGGACTGACATCTTGCATGCCTTTTTTCCATTACAAATGTTCTAGACATTGTTACTGCTGTACTGAATAAGGCTGTTGAGCTCCTCACATATCAAATGTACCACAACGAACAACACATTCACAGAACGTGCCTCACTGGAAACGACATAATTTTAAAAGTGGTTTGGCTGGGACAGAGACGTGATTGCAGACTCATACTTTTTTGCAGATAGATCCTGAGAAGTATGTCAGCACCCAAAATGACGGGAGTGCTTGGAGTCTAGTGTCAGTGAAGGATGTTTCCCACCTGGACTTTCTGGTGGCTCAGCTGCTTTGCAAAGGGGGCACCAAAACATCACGCATAACACAACATTTTGACCTCAAAACCACTCTGAAAGTTTCTTTTTGGCACATGCACCAAAGTGAGTTATTTACAGCCTCAGGGAGTGCCTCCTTAATTTGATGTGGAGTAACTGTATTTCCCCTTACCTACTTTCCTGAAAGAGTCCATCAAAAGATGGGTTTCTGACACATGCTCAAACACAAACTTACAGAATCAGATTATTCACAGAGAGAATGGCATATAATGCTTTTTCTGCAGATAACACCAGACAGACTGACAGCAGCTCTCTTTTCTCCTGGCTCCTTTTGAACAGCTGATGATGTGGAGTAACTGTATTTCCCCTTACCTACTTTCCTGAAAGAGTCCATCAAAAGATGGGTTTCTGACACATGCTCAAACACAAACTTACAGAATCAGATTATTCACAGAGAGAATGGCATATAATGCTTTTTCTGCAGATAACACCAGACAGACTGACAGCAGCTCTCTTTTCTCCTGGCTCCTTTTGAACAGCTGAGCAAATTAATTTTCTTTCCTTAGATCAGCCTTGGAGAGAAATCCAATCACCAGGCTACAGACTGCCCTAACAGGGACCCTCTCCCCATTCCTTCCCTTGATCTTGCCTCATTGCTCAGAAAAGTAATTTGAGACTCACTGGGGCAGAGACAGATCAACATAAGGGGCGCAAATTTAAAGTTTCACAGAGAAGGCACAGAAATGTGCAGATAGAGCCTGTGCTTCTGTAGTTTGTTTTAAACAGTCACTGGATAAGCACAAAGCTTTCAGAAGCTGCATCTCAAAAAGGCAGTTTAAATGGCTTCTAAAGCCATCCAGCCTCAGTTCTCAGAAGCACAGAGAGAGATGATGAACGCAGACAACCAATTCCACTCCAGCAAGTGAAAATATAAATGTTGGTCACCAATGTCCCCAAACCTTTTGATACATCCATGTGCTTCATTTTATCCAGCCCTTTCACCAGCTTCACGGTGCTGAACTACTGATGAAGTCAGCAAAATGCTGCAACTTCTATTAATATGCTGTTATGGCTTTTAGAAGTCC